GGGTTGCATGGGAGGTGTGACCAGTAGGAGGCAGGGCTTGATGAGACTAATTTATATGCCGCCTATCACAACAGATGGTAAAGAACCTGCCTATAATGCAGGAGACCCGGGTTCAATCCCTGGGTCAGGAAGATCCCCTGGAGAAGGGAATGAGTACCCACTCCAGTGCTCTTGCCTGGAGAACCCCATGGACAGAGGAGCCTGGTGGGCCACAGTCCATAAGTTGAAAAGAGCCGAATATGACCGAGTGACTCACGCTTTCATTATCACAAGAGCAGCTTCCCGTGTTGCCACACCTCGTGTCACAATCAATTCAACGGACGCTGCAACCACGAGGAGGGTGCCTGCTGGGGAACGGTTAGCACCAGGACGTCCACGGAGAACTTGCTCGTGGCAAAGGAGAGATATGACCTCACAGTGGCAACAGCTGCTGTCCCCCGTGTGACGGGCAGGCCCGTGCTTCCTGGGAAGGGACAGCAAGGGCCCCACGCCTCACCTGTGTCGGGCTCCCTCCAGGGCGGGCGAGTTGCCCTCTGACCAAGCCTTCAGTGACCACTTCCAGTTACAAGAAAAACAGGGGAGAGACGCACACTTAAACCGGCACCAGCACGTCACCTCCAGAACCTGGGACCTTCGGTCCGCTGACCCGAAATGAGTTCGTGGCTCGGGGAGAAATGCTGAGGGTGGGAGGAAACGGCACTTGATCAGAAAAGACTGAAGAGACACAGCCAGGGCAGGGGCTTGACAGACTCTAGGCCGAACAAACCAGTCGTAAGAGCGAATAGGAAACGTGGTGGAAGCGGAACGCAGACCATTCTCGGGGCTCTCAGGGAATTGTTGCTAACTTGGCCGCATGGGAGTGGGGTGGTGGGTCTGCAGGGGAATAGCTTCCTTTTTTGGAGATGAATGCTGAACCACGTATCTACTCAATTTCTGGGTCATGACATATGGAATCGACTTTAAGAATCTTACAAACACACATATCTTAAAGTAAATACACGTGTGTGTATGTGTATGTGTGTCTATATATAAAGAGAGAGAATGAATAATGAGATATTTATTCTAGGGAACGGGTCCATGCAGTTGGGAGAAGGGCACATCTGAGCTCTGTGGGCAGGTCGGCAGGCAGGAACCCAGGCTGGCTCCCTGTGTTTCGCTCTTGAGGTTGGAATCCTTCTTCTGGGAAAACTCAGTCTTTGCTCTGAAGGCCTTCGAATGATTGGGCAAGGTCCACCCACTCAATGAAGGTGATCTGTTTTACTCCAAATCTTCTGATTGAAATGTTCCATCAGACTTCGCAGGAGGTCCAGCGGACGGGCCAATGCCGGGGACATGGGTTTGATCCCTGTTCTCAGAGGATCCCACACACCAGGGGCTAACTGAGCCCGTGAGCCACCTCTCCTGAGGCCTCACACTGGAGCACGGGCTCTGTCACAGGAGAAGCTGCCGCATCGAGAAACCTGCGCCTGCAGCGAGAGAGGAGCCCCGCTCGCTGCAGCAAGGAAGACTCAGTGCAAACACACAAAAATGGTAACCTCATTGAAAAACACCTCCACGGCAACATCCGACCGGTGTTTGACCAAATAGCTGGACACTACGGCCTGGACGAGCTGACACATAAAACTAGCCTTCCCCGTGGATATATGTGTATTCAATACATTACTCTTTCTACTTCTTTTCTGTATTAAAGTTTTCATCAGAAGCTAAAAAACAAAGAACCTTTGTTCACAGAAGTCACTATAAAGAAAGTGAAAATCAGGTCACAAATATGAGACAATATTTACAATCCATGTAAGTAACCAATGACTTCTACCCAGTAACACAAACTTCTCCATGTGTCAGAAGAAAGAGACATAGGATCCAATTTTTAAAAATGGGCAAAAGACATAAACAGACATTTGGCAGAATAGGAAACAGAAATGGCCAATAATCATGAAAACAGGAACAGGAAATTAACATCTCCTGGATGCACAGACGTTTTAAGGTTTTGGGCAAGAACACAGGTGTGCTACTCTGAGCGCTGAAATTGGAGCGAGCAGCGGGAGGACCGGTGGGCCTCGTCCGGAAGGGTGGCTTCTGCATGTGCAGCGATTCGGCACCCCGCCTCTGGACGGGACCCTGGGTCGGGTCATCAACCTGTGAGCTGCGCCCCATAGGGCGTGACCATCCCCCACCTCCCGCCCCTGGCGTGTGGCTGCCCGGCCAGTGGATACCTGGCTTTGTTTTCACGTTTTTAGGTCTGTCCTAAGATGCAGAAAGCCAGAGGCCGGACACCTCTGCCTTCACCTGCGGGGACAGCAGTGTGGCCCTGCATCAGGACCACGTGGACACTTGCTCACCTGCTCTCGTCGTCTCAGTCCACGGGCCGCTGACTGTGAGCTCACCCCTGCCCCCCAGATCCCCTGCCGATGGGATCTGGAGGAGGCATCGTGGGTCACTTCGGTGCAAACCACATGGCAGAGCATGAGTAAACCCTGTGAACGTAGGTCCTCGTTGGGTCCCGGGGACAGAGATATGTCCCCCTGCGCCTTGGTCCCCTGTGCACGGGAGGCGGAAGCCTTGTTTGGGCATCTGCTTTGCTTTCACCTGCATCCAGGCAGCACATCGGGGTGCTGACTTTGACCGATGTGCAGAGTTGGTGGAGGCGCCCCCAGGGTCACAGGACTTGGTCCTTATGACCCAGGGACCCCAGGGCCCCAGCGGCTGCTGGGGAAGCTGAGATGCAGAATGCCAGTGCCAGTCCTGTGTGGGCACACAGCCGCGCCCTTTGCAAGGACCTCCCCTTTGGGACTTCTCATTCGGCTCCCATCTGGGCCGGGGGAGAGGTGGCCCCCTGCACATGGGGTGGCAGGGTGACCCGAGCTGCCCGTCGTGAAGGGAGTGTCATCCGGGCACTGGGTCGTGTAGCTGGGCAGGCCAGCAGCTCCCCATCGGCCAGTGAGGTTGGGGGTCTGGACTCTTGTAAGGTCCTTGGAGCCCGTGGCAGGCAGGCAGTGTCTCCTTCCCCAACCAGTCCCATGCTGCCTGCTGGCCCGGTGAAAAGCAGAGGGCGGGGAGAGGAGCCGCCCGTGGGCCCAGCAGGAGCCCCCTACAGCTGCATGCCAGACTGTCACAGTCACGCGTCCTGCTCTGCGCCACAATGCCGTACCTCTGGGAGGCCGGCCTGCCCCCTGGCAGCAGGTTCACGGACGTGAGACCCCGTGTTGGTCAGGAGCCTCCAGAGAAACCGCGCCAGTGGGATGCACGCATGCGTGCTCACTCACTCAGTCGTGTCTGACTCTTCGTAACCCCCTGGGGCCCTCCAGGCTCCTCTGCCCTGGGATTCTCCAGGCAAGAATGCTGGAATGGGCCGCCATGTCCTCCTCCAGGGGATCTTTCCCACCCAGGGATGGAACTCGCATCTCTTAAGTCTCCTGCATTGGAGGGCAGGTTCTTTACCACTGGTGCCACCTGGGAAGCCCACCAGTGGGATATCTGTCTCTATACCCATCCACGCATCCTCCGTTCATCCACCCATCTATCTCTCCACCCTTCCATCTCTCCATTCTTCCTTCTCTCCACCCTTCCATCCATACACCCATCCACCTATCATCCAGCTATTTACCTACCTTCCTGTCTATAAAATATGTACTACGAGGAAATAGCTCTCGTGGTTATGGGGCTGGGAATGGGCACGCTGGTGGCTCAGGAGGGTCAGTTTGGTGACGTCATCCAGCCCAAGTCTGGAGGCCTAAGCCCCAGCGATGCTGTAAACCCGGGTCTGAGGGCAGGAGGAGGTGCCAGGAGCCGCCCCAGCTCAAGGGGTGGGGCCGGAGGAGGGCGCGTTCTCTTTTCCCCCCATTGTGTTCCGTTCAGGCCTCGGGGGACCGGCTTGTGCCCCCCAACATGGGGGAGGCCACCTACTTTCCTGCGTCCACAGTTCAGTGCCAACCTCCCCGGAAGTCACGGCCCACCTGGCGGGTTATGCTGGTGAACACGGCCCCCGCTTCACGGGAGGGGCAGCGATGGTTCCCATCGGCCGGCCCTCGTCCTGCTTGTGAGTGCCCCCTGCCCGCGCCCCTACTTCCCTTATTTACCGACTTAACGCCCTGCTGCCGTCCTAGTTCCTCAAGGATCCCTGTTTCTGGGCAGGGAGCTGACCTTACAGCCAGAGGAGCAAGGCAAGGGGAGGTGCCCTGGGCTCCCCGAGGGCCACCCCGGACCACGTTCCTCAAGGAGAAGACCCCATGGGATGGCAGCCCAGCCCTGGCATCGTTTAGGACCATGGCCGGGAGAGTGGGGTGACAGTGGCCCTGTGTCCTGTAGGACATGCTAGTCAATGCCACCATCTCCCCCAAATCAGGATGCACGGGGTGGAGGCCGCGTGGGGGGCGCCTGCTTCCTGTGATTAGAGTGAATGGGCGGCTGGCAAACATTCCGCCTCTCGCCCCCGTTGGTCCCCGCTTGCCTGGTTTTCAGTCCCAGCAAAGGGATGCTTTGAACAAAGCAGTGGTGACCTTGGGTTGGAAGAAGGTGGGGGCCCCACCTGGCCCACCGGGGCTCCTCTGCCAGTGGATTCAGGGGCCGGAAAGGGGGCCACGGTGATGGGTGGGTGACGGGATCAAGAGGAAATGGGGTCCTGCTCCTGAGTGAGGGCGGGACGAGGGGGTGATGAGCCCACGGCAGAGGTGACCCCAGGAAGGAGGCCTTCCTTCCCAGCACCCTCCCCACGAGGAGTGGGCTCACCAACGGGAGAAGCAGGGGAGGGGGCCTGGGCCGGGTGGGGCGAGAGAGGGGCGGCGCGCCTGGCCTCGGAGGGAGCGCGCGCGCCCGCAGCTTCCGGCGCAGACCCTTCTGCGCGCTCTTACCCGTGTCTACGGGATCTGACCCTGACGCACGCCTTCTCCTCTCTTCTTCTCTGGTCCTCGCCCCGCTGCCCGGCCCCTGCGGTGGAAGCGCCGAGCGTCCAGCGCCGGACTGCCGGGAAAATCCCTACTGCAGGCCCGTTCCCGCTTCTTCCCACCAGTACTGGTGCCTTCCTTCAAGTTTATTTTGTAAGATGAGAAGAACAGAACCGGGAGAGGAACGCACCTCCCTAGAAGCCCTGGACGGTTACCAAACCCAGAACCGCGGAACCCACGAGCTTCCGGCGCAAGTCTGCTTTGTCCCGGGGGCAAAGCTCTGGGACGTGTACTGCGGGGAGGGTGTGTGACTGCAGGCAGCGGGTGTTGGTCACTCTGTCCCCGTTAGCTGCACCTCACAGACGCTGCTCCTTGCTGGGGAAGAAGCCGACTCTGCCCGTTTCGGTGGGGGCGGAGCTGCACCCCCTTGGTGGAAGCTCAACGGGCCGGGCCGTGTTCCCTTGTCCTTTGGCAGCTACGATGGGGCCCCCGAGCTGGGCTGGGCCTGTCTGGGGTCCCGCCCAGGACTCTGGGACTTGAGCCCAGGATGCCAGTTGTCAGGTGGTCGGATGGCGGGCAGCAGGCAGGAGTTCTCAGATGCAACCCCGGGACCGTGCGCACGGCATCACTACACACGTGATTTCTCCTTATGCTGGGGAGGTCACCGGGTGGTCATCACCTAACCACCTGGGCCTGCAGACAGCCCTCCCGCCCGGAGGGTCAGAGGGGAGCAGGAGCCCTCCTGCCTGCGACGTGAGGATGGGGGGCCGTGTGAGGAGGGGAAGCGGTCTCCGGAGGAGAGCAGCCCGCGGACAGCCCACGCGGGTGGGGCCTCAGTCCTGACGCTGTGCAGAACTGAACTGCTCCCAGTCTGCCCGAGCCTGTAGTGGGTCCTCCCATCTCCCCAGAGCCTAGGGGTGGGGGGCCAGGGAGCCCTACCAAGCCCACCTTGTGCTCCCTCTGAGTGCACTCTCACCCCGCTAGCCTCCCCAGAGTCTGCGGTTGACCCCTGCTCCCCCAGCCCCCTGTCGGCTTAAATGGAGGTGCTGTCTAGTCAAGCTTCTCCCCCCCACCCCACCAAGTGGAGGGAAACAGCGCCTCCCCTCCCACAAGGGTTACATGCGAGTGCAGACCGTAGCGTCTCCGCTCCCATGGGCAGGCGGGTGGGTGTCCCGGGGCAGCAGAAGCTGACCAGAGCGTCTGCTTGGACTCAGACGGCCCTTGGGAGCGTCCGCTTTGGACGGGCGGCGAGGAGACCGGGATCCCTCCTGGATGTGTCTGTAGACTCTGTGCTCCTGGGGAGGGCAGCTGTGGGCCCTGAGGGGCAGAGGGGTGGTGAGAACGCAGAGGGGCGGGCCGGGGATCTGGGCCTGGAGGGCGTGTAGGTGGCCAGAGCAGAGGCCGGGTCAGTGGTGGCGGAGCCTGCGGCGTAGATGGAGGCAGGGGGCTCTCCTGGGGGCCCCAGCAGCCCCGTCTCCCCACAGTGGTGGAGATGCCACAGTGAGACCCCGTGTCTGCAGGGGTGGGGAGGGGGCGGAGCCTGCTCGGCTGAGTGCTTGCTGCCCCCAAGCACCTTCCCTAGGGTGTCCGCCTGGGCCCTTCGTCCAGGGGCCCCACAACTGGGCAGAGGCGGGATCTTGGGAGTGGGAAGGGGTGGTGCTCTCTGCCCTCCTCCCGCACCTGCAGGCCTGTAGGACCCTTCTGGGGAGGTGGCGGCACCGGGGCGGGCGGGCCTACCGTTGGCTCATGGAGTATCTGCCCGAGTGGATGGTGAACCAGATGAAGGAGCTAAGCAGCATTGCGTACACCTGGGGCGGGGGGGAGCACTTGTCCCAGCAGCTCTGGGGGCTCACTGTCCCCCCCCCGGGGGGAAGGGAGTCAGGGAGGCCACGTCACCCCCAGGCCTGCTCTTCCCTGCTCCCCGTGCAGGGCGAGCCTTCAGGTCCCCAGGACCCTGGGGGTGGGGGGCCGCGGGGGACGAGGGCTGTGAGAGCTACCGTGAAGGCGAGGCCCAGGCCGATCAGCGTGGAGACGATGTTCCCGTGCACCCTCAGGAAGCTCTGGATCCCCCGCAGGCAGTCCTGGGCAGAGGGCAGCGTGTGGGCCTGGACTGCCCCTCCCGGCCCGGGGAACGGCACCTTCGCAAGGGGTGTGGGGCCGCAGCAGCCACTGGGACCCAGGCTAGGGGTGCGGCCTGTCCCGGGACCCGCCCTGAGCTCCGGACAGGCACTGAAAACAGGCAGAGACAAGCAGGAAGGAACCTGCCTCTGTGGGGATGAGGGGCTCCGGAGGTCCAGCGGGGCCTGCCTCTGGGTGAACGCTAAGCAGCGGTGTTGGGCCGTGTGTCTGCCCCCAGGGTAGGCTGAGACCCAGTTACTCTGGGTCCCAGGTTCCCTGTTGCGGGTGGGATGCAGATCCTGGCTGAGGAAAGGGCGCTGGCTAAGAGGGAGGGGCGTTCTTGCTCCATGCTGAACCTTCCCAGCCTCCCCAGGGCGTGGTGTCCACAGAGGCACGCTGTCTCCAGGGAAGAGGGAGGGGACCGCCCCCGCTCTGAACCACTTCGGCTCCGGGGAAGGACTTGGTGCTCCGGGGGCAGGCTGGGGCAGGGTGTGCGGTGGGGCAGGCGGCATTGGGCTCTGAAGCCCGAGTTGGGGGAGAGGAGGCCGGCTTGGTGTCTGTCTGTCCATCTGCCCGTGAATCCCTTTGACAGGCTCTCGTCCCCGCCCCCGAGGCTGCACTTCCTGTTAGAAAGCGACAGGGGGTCCACCCTCCCTCCCCCCCACCCAGGGGTGCCTTCCCACAAGGCCTTCACCGGCTCCCATGCCGCCTGCCCTCTCAGAAGGTGCAGGAGGCTGGCCTTCACCCCCACTTTGCAGGCGAGGACCTGGGGCCTCCCCCTGCTGGTTTAAACAAGCCTCCCACCCCCCCAACCCCCCCCCGCCCCCCCCCCCCCCAGCGCCAGGGCCCAGGGCGCTGTGTTGGTTCTGTCCTGGACTGGGCCTCCAGCCATTTGCATCCTCCTGTCTGTTTCTTGGAGGGTGGCCAGGAGCCTCTTGCCAGAGATGGGGCGAATTTGTTCCTATGGGTGGGGGAGGGGAGCCAGGGGATGGGGGGAGGGGAGGCCACTGTCTTTGGGAAGAAGAGGGTCCCTGCCTCCGACGCCCTCCTGGCCAGATTCAGGCCCGGGCTGACCTTCCAGGAAATGTCCTTCTGGCTTCGGGGACCCCAGCCCAGGCAGAGCCACCCACCACACACTCTGGGTGCTCGGCACATCTCAGCCCCTGGGTCTCCTACCCTCCCCTGCCCTTCTAGAGGGTTCTGATGGGAGGGTCTCAGTCCGCCAAGCTGAGAGCTGTGCGAAGGAGTGAGCACCTGGGCCCAGCCGGGTCAAGTGACCCCAGCCCAGGCCAGCCCCCTCCCTGGGAGGGTCTGGGGCAGCCAGTGGCTGAGCCCCCAGGGATGGTGGCGGGCCCCTCCCCTCACCTGTCTGGTGGCCTCCTCCCCCTGACACAGGTCGGCCTCTGAGCCCCCCAGGAGCCCGAGGGGCGAGCTCTTGCCACAGCACCAGAACTGCAGAGGCAGAAGAGGGAGGCGGTTTGCTCTGAGAACCCCAGGGGCAGAGGGGAAACCGAGGCGCGACGTCCTCCCTGCGCCCCACCCCAGGCCAGGATGGGGGCTCAGGGCCAGGCATGGGGGCACCCAGCTCCCAGCAGCCTGGCCCGTGTGCCCCAGGATGGGCTGTGCCACCTCCATCTGGAAGCTCACGTGTGGACGCGGGCCCTCGCCCTCTGCTCTGGGCCCGCGGACTCAGAAGCCGGGCCTCCCAGGGTGGACGGAAGATGGGTGCGCTCTGCCCTGCGCCTCCCCCCGCCATGGCGTGGTGACCCAGGATCCTCAGCTCAGCACCCGGCCAAGCTGGCTCTGGGGGGCTGCTCCCCTGTGCCCCGTTTCTGGATGGCAGGCCGCCCAGAGCTGCCCTGGAGGGGTCTTCCTGCACGTGCTCACCGTGTCCTGAATGGCCACCAGCTCCTGCCGCCCGGTTCCGGATGCGCTCCTCACCGCCTGGTCATAGGCCCGGTCGTAGGCATCCAGCACGGCGTCCTCCACCTGTGCAGAGGGCACCGGGAAGGCCGTGCTGGTGAAGCTCACGTCCCTGACAGACCCCCCGAGGGTCTCAGGTGCTGAGCAGCGCCCAGCCGGCCTCCTCCTCCTCCTGCTCCCTGGGGACCGGGACCCCTGGAGCAGGGCCTGCGTCCCCCGGGTGCTGGTCACAGGGATTCCCATGCTCCAGCTGTGGGGACCTCCCCCCAAGAACGATTGTTGATGCCACCCTCGCCCCTGGGGGTCCTGCAGGGTAAACCAACTCTTGTCTTACGATGGGAGGAGAGCCCGGCCTAAGTGTCCACCTGCTTCTGCTGATCTGGAAACGCATGGTGGGGAGGGAAAGGCAAGGGTGGGCCTGAGGGAGACGGCCAGGAGCCGCCTCGTGCCGGGGCTCAGCTCACAGGGATGCTCCAGGTCTTCCCGCAGATCCATCTGGTATGTTCTGGAAAGCCCAGACAGCTGGGCTCCAGGCAAGGCCTAAGTACCCAGCACTGACGAGGCCCCTTGGGGATGACGGAAGAGAGGAGCTCTGCCTTCACGCCCTACCCCTCCCCCAGACCTCCTTCCGTCTGCCTAGCTTCTGTGCCTTCTGAACTGTCCTCCCCTTGCAACTTATTTCTCCAGAGGCAAACTGGAACCCTGCCTCCTCCAGGGAGTCTTCTGTGATTGCGCTGGGGTCACTGGGCTGGCATGGACAAGGCCTCTGAGCTCCCCGCCCTCCTTCCCCGCCTCAGAGACCCTGAGCCCAGCCTCCCTTCCCTTCCTGCCCTCGAGTCGCGCGCCCACTGGGATGGGTGGGAGGGTGCTCGGGGGTACCCTGCTCTGGGCAGCCACCCCGCCCTCCAGAAAGGAAGCGGCTTCCCCAGTCCCAGCCTGCGGCAGGCGGGCGGGGGGGCGGCGTTGCCCAGTGCTGCCCAAAGTCCTGGTGCCCCTGTAGGGATGGGTGGGTCTGCACCCCCAGCATCGCGCTCAGAGCTCATCACCCCTTGGTGAGACCTGGATCTCAGAGCTGCCCGGATGCTCCGGCGGCTTTGTTCCCTACCCGAGGGGGAGGTGGGCAGCGTCCTGGGCGGGGGGCCAGGCGCCAGGCTGGCCCCTCCTGCAGGAGGCCTGGCGAGGAGCCCTGTCTTGGGGGTGGAGATCGGCCAGGCTGTCCTAGTCTCTGTGGGAGGAGGTCCCGGGTGGGGGGCCTGGAGCCAGCCTGGGGTCAGGGGTGCAGGAGGCTGTGATGGGGGTCTAGCTCTCCCCAACCCCCACTAGGGCCCAGGGAGACCGCGGCCCCTCTGAGGTGGGGTGCTGCTCCCAGCAACGCTGGCTGGAGGGGACGCCACTGGGGCTTGAGCTGTGCGTGTCTACCCCTTCCTGCCTCCCCACCCCCACCCATCCCCAGAAGTGGGGGCCACAAGCCCCTCCTTTGGGTGAAGAGGTGGATCCGACAAAGCCACACCCTGCCCGAGACCCCTGGCCTGGACGCGGGGGCCAGGCAGACTCTCCCAAGGCCCAGTGACTGGGTGGGTGGTGCCCCTTGGGGGCCCAGGCTCAGGGGCACAGGGGTCCTGTGTGTCTCTAGGAGAGAAGTTGGGAGTGCTGGGAGGTCTCAGAGGCCCTTGGGCCCTGAGACTTGGGTGCTCCCCGCAGGGCACCCTAATCTTTAAGCTCTGTCTCCCAGGGCGCCAGGGCTGCCCCTCGGGACAGGGTTCCTGGGCTGCTGAAATCAAACCGGGGGCCTGGGGTGCCCCTGCCAGGCCAGCTCCCCACGAGGGCCCCTCTCAGCCTTGCTGACCAGCCTCCCATAGTCTGCTAGCCTGCCTGGCGGGGGACGCCTAAGGGGCGGGGGCAGTGGGAGCTGCAGGTGGTCCGCAGACCAGCCCCCGGTGGCCCAGGGCCGGCTCTGGCGGCTAGTGGACCTTGGGGGAGGAGAGTGGCCTCCAGGGGCGGGGCCCAGCCCGGGAGCTGGGGGACAGGCAGCCTTACACCAGCTCGGGCACCGCCGTACTCAATCCGTGCCTGAATTATTAAGCGGGGCCTGGCAGTTAATCGCCCGCAGGCCTGTCTGGGGACTGGGCAGAGCGGCTCTCAGGCGCCCTCAAGCTTTGTATTCACAGCACGGCCGCCTAGTCCTGCTGAATGCCCGCCAAGCTTCAGGGCAGCTACCAGGGCCTGAGGCTGGGAGAGGGGCTGGGGGCCTGCGGGATGGCTCCGGGGCCACCGGAAGTCACGGCCGTCCGCAGGTAGACGGGCCATCTGGACCCCGTGTTTCAGGGTCTCTCGGGGGGTTCCAGGGGAGAAATGGGGGTGACAGACCCCCTTAGAGCAAACGCACTGCCCTTTGAGAGTCTCTGCTTCTGCCTCCAGGAGGACCCCAGGGAAGAAGGCGAGATCTGCTGGCTTGGGTTGGCCTTGACGCCAAGGCCCCCGCAGGTTCCCGGGGTCCGGGGCACAGGACAGGCGGCTCCTCGGCCCCTGCCACCCGGGGCCTGTGCCCTTATGAGTGCGGGTACGGAGGTCAGACCCGGGCTCAGGGGCTGCAGGCAGGTTCCGCTCATCCCTTCACCTGTGCTCGTTCATTCCTGCACAGGGAGGTCTTCATACTCCTTTACAGATGAGGACACGGAGGCCCAGGAAGGTGGGCTGATTGCCCAAGAGCGCCGGGCACGAGGCTGACCCCACCCAGACCCCCCTGCGCCCACGCAGGTGTGGGAGGAAGCCCCAGCCCACCCCAGGGCCAGCCAGGGCCCAAACACCGGACCCCGAAGGCCAGCTGCAGCACAGACCAGACCAGAACGACTTCTTTGGGGGGGCGGGGGCCGTGCAGGGAGGAGGCCCAGCTGGGTCCTGTCTGTTTCCACCCCTTCCCCTTCCCAGAGCGGGAGCCCCAGAAGGGTTTCGGCCTGTGAGCCCCGCCTCCACAGACCCACCAGCCATGGACTTCGAGCTGTAAACACAGGGTCACAGCCAAGAAGGGGGCTGCAGCTGCCCGGGGGGAGCTGCCCGGCCCGGGCACCCTGGCAGTCGTCTTGGCAGGGACCACCTGCGTGGCGACCCAGACCTCGCCTGGCCCGGCAGCTCCTGGGTGGTGGGTCAGCAGCCTGGCACAGTGCTTCTGGGTCACCGAGAGCCGAGGCTGCCTTTCCGGGCTCTGAACCCCCAAGAACCAGAGGGAATGTCCTCTTCCCCCTCTGGTCAGGGGTGGGTGACCCCAGATGATGCCAGGGTGGTGGTGAACAGTTTGGGGTGATCTTTGGGCAGAAACAGGAAAAAAGGTGTTGACTCAGGGCTAAGAGTGCTGACGGTGGCCCTGCCAGGGTGACCTGGCTCCCTCCCCATCCCCGTGGGCCTGAGTCCCTCCATCTGCGGACCAAGAGGATGGCACCGCCCTGGAAGGTCTGGGGATGGCCTCCTCAACTCCAAGGAGTTCAGCGGTGGCAGGGGGACGGAGGAACTAGGCCTGTGCTGCGTGTAAGGGAGGACAGGGCCAGAGTGGGTAAAGAAAAATGTGAAAGTGTTAGTTGCTCAGTCGTGTCCGACTTTTGTGACCCCATGGACTGCAGCCCACCAGGCTCCACTGTCTGTGGAATTCTCCAGGCGAGAATACTGGAGTGGGTTGCCATCTCCTTCTCCAGGGGATCTTCCCAACCCAGGGACTGAACACGGCTCTTCCGCACCGCAGGCGGACTCTTTACCCACGGAGTTGCCAGGGAAGCCCTCTGGGCTTCAGAGTGGTAACCACACACCTCAGAGCACGCAGCACGAGCTTGGCCTCCTGACCAGCCGTTCTCTGCATGGAGCAGGAATGTCTCGGGGCGCCCGTGCAGCCAGGGCCGGGGCGCTGGGATCCCTGACACACGGTCAGACACGCCACCGGTCACCTGCCTGCGCGGGGTTCTGCCTGGAAACCCAGTATCCTCCAGGGCTTCCTTAGTGGCTCAGTTGGTAAGGAATGTGTCTCCAATGCAGGAGACCTGGGTTCTATCCCTGGGTCAGGAAGACCCCCCCGGAGAAGGAAGTGGCAACCCACTCCAGTGTTCTTGCCCAGAAGATCCCGTGGCCAGAGAAGGCTGGCGGGCTGTAGTCACAAGCGCCAGATACGACTTAGTGACTAAACCGCCGCCCCCCAGCAGTGTCCTCCAGCAGGAGTGGCCATGGTCTCCCCGGGCTGGTCCTTATGGAGTGCAGGGGAATCTGAAGCCCAAGGAGAGGAGAAAGGCACGCTCAGGGTCTCAGAAAGTCTGGCTGGACAGGGTCTGTGGGGCTGGGCTCCCAGGGACTGCTTTGGGGTCTGGCCTGGGGCTTGGCTGTCTCAGGCAAAGCCTGGGCCCGAGTTCTCCTGCCTGGCTTTGTTCAATCCTGGGGGCTGGGGGGAGACCCCTGCAGGCCCTGGCCACTCAGTCAGAGCAGCCCCTTTGGGAGGGGCACCCGGGGGCTGCCCTTCAGCCTACTGGCTCGGCTGGGGAGTGAAGCTGAGCCTGTCGGGGCCGCGGGCACGGGGCGTGGTGGGCACTGGTGTTGGCCAGCCTCACTCTGCCCAGCTGAGACCCGCCATGTGGACCCTCCCGGCCCTGCCAGTCTTCGGCCCCTGCAAACAGGAGCCCATACGGGGCTGCGTCCTCGTCTCTCTGAACCTCTTGAGCACCCATTTCCTCTGTCTGGCCACAGAAGTTCTGACCTTGACCCCCAGCCCTGGTCTGGGAGGACTCAGCTCTGCTCATGGACTTGACCAGTCCCGTTTCCCAGGAAGGCTTTCAGCTCTGTCTCAGGGCCTGGAGTTCAGGCAGAATTTCTGGAAGGCCAGGCTGACCCCGCCCTGGTCACATGGGAGCAGTCTCTCCGGAGCTGAGGTCCTGACCTCCTCCCTGGGGTTGTGCGCACCCTAGACCCGGGCCCACAGGCGTCAAGCCCCGTTGGCCGGGGGCCGGCGTCCCACGTGACTGCATGATCAGAACTGGGGCCTCCCTCCCTGCCAGCTTTGAGCCGCCCCGGGGTCGCTCGGAAGCAGCAGCACCCAGGGAATGGAGGGGTGGGTGGACGGAGGAAGGAAAGGAGACCAACGGGACCCACGCCCACCATCGCCACGGTCACCACCGACGTGAGTGTCCCTGGGAAGAGTCCGCAGTGACCACGGAAGGAGCGGGTCGCCCGGGCAGCCCACCGACAAGCAGGCCAGGGCCCGCCCTGAAGGGCCACTGGACACCGCGTCCCCTGTCCCGCGCCCCCACTGCCAACAGGCCTCTCTCCCGGCCAGGCCCGGCCCCCGTCAGGAGTGCAGTCCTCGGAGCTGCGTTTTCTGGAGCCGACCCCCCCAGTCAGCCCTGCAGGCCTGGGAGGCTCCCCTCCCCCAAACCCCAGGTGCCATCTCCCAGGCCTCTGGGGGGCCTTAGAGAGAAGCGGGTATCCGCGGCCTGCACCTGCCTCCTTCCTGCCCCGGGAGTTGCTGCTCTCAGCCCAGCAGAGGGCCGGCCCGCAGGCAGAGAGTGTCCCCAGTGTGGCCGCCACACCCGCCCATCTCCCCGGGTGACCGCAGGAGAGAGGGAGCAGGGGCCCTCCCCGGCGTGACGGGGCGCGCTCACCTGGGTGGGGTTGTGGAGCCTCCAGAAGGCCGCCTGCGCCAGGGCGCAGAACACCAGGGCGAAGCTCAGGAAGGCCTGGGAGGGGGTGGGAGAGGGGGCACCTGAGTCCAGGCCCCGCCGTGGCCTGGCGGCTCCCCCTGCCGAGGGCAGGCCTGCGGCGGCGGGCACACTGGCTCCCAGGCCTCTCTAGGCCCTTCTCGGGAGGCCCCCACAGCCGGCTTTGGCTTCCCAGGGCCCCAGGGAGGCGGGCGGTCAGGCCCCGGGATGAGGGAGAACCCTGCCGTCTGAACCTGCGGCCGGGAAAGGCACCGACCCCAGAAGGGCCAGGGGCGGGGGCCTCCCCTGAGCCTGAGATTCAGATTCAGAACATGTGCCCCCCTTCAAGTGGTCTGGCCCGGAGGGCGGCTCGGGGGTGCGGCTGCCCTGGATGTGCTGCGCTTCGTCACTCAGCCGTGGCTGACTCTGACCCCACGGACTGTGGCCTGCCAGGCTCCTCTGTCCATGGGATTCTCCAGGCAAGAGTACTGGAGCGGGTGGCCACGCCCTCCTCCAGGGGATCTTCCTGACCCGGGGATCAAACTCTCCTGCATTGCAGGTGGATTCTTTACCGACTGAGCCATCAGGGGATTGCTTGCATAGGAAGGGCCTTTTCCAGAAGGGACAATTGGTTTTGCTTGGTTTTCTGAAACGGGCCTCCTGGAGGTTCAGGAGCTGGGGTTCTAGCCAAGAGCATGGCCCAGTGGGCACCCTGAGATGGGGTGACCCCCAGCAGAGGTGCTTCTCTTCCCACCAACGTGCACTCCAGGACCCAGGGGGCCCGTCCACCTCCTGCCAATCCCCGGGCCTCGGGCTCTGGTGGACCCTTTCTCTCACGGGGTTTCTGAAGCTGATGATATTTGTCCCCTCCCCTGAAAATACACACGTCCCCAGAGCTCTTTTGTGGGTCGTTTCAGAGGCTCACCCCAGGCTGCCCAGGCCTCTGTGCTGCCCTGGGGACGCCCCCCCCCCCCACCGTGGTCTGACTGGTCACCTTGTGCTGGGGATGCTCCCATTCAGGCCTCGGGCTGAGCCGCCTCCAGGAGCTCTGGATGGTCAGTCCGCCTGCTGACCACCTGGCTCAGGGGTCTGGAGTCCAGTATTGCTCCCTCCTGGGAGTGGGACTGTCTGCTGCTGGGCCCGAGTGGCCAGGCTGTCCCGACCCAGGGGCCTTACTGGGGTGACACCAGAGAGTCCGTGGCCAGCATGGGGTCCATGGCCAGCATGGAGGGACACCCCGGTGCAGAGACACTGACACTGCCCGGGCTGGACGGGGATGGAGACTGTTCCTTCTGCTCCACACTTGGTGGGCGTGTGGCGGTGCGTCCACCAGGCTCCAGGAAAGGGGGCCAGCCCGCCGGCTCCCAGACTCCACGCAGGGACAGGGACCTCTAGCTCTGCTCAGGGGTGGAGGCCCACCAGCTTTCACCCCACGTTTCCTCCTGCCTGCCCAGGGGTCCACCAGGCCTCAGTCTCCAGATGGCTCTGGGATGCCTCTTCCTCCTCTCCTCCCCATCCTCCCTCTATTTCTCTCCCTCCTCCCCTTCCTCCTTCCTTTCCTCTTCCTTGTCCCTCTCTTCCCCTCCTCCTCTCCCTCAGGAGCCAGCTCAAGGGACCAGCATTTTCCAGGAACTGTTCCATTCCTCGGGAGAGGGAGCATCCCTCCGTCCCGCCCACCCGTCCGCCTTGCACGGAGGGTCCTGGGTGGCACACGGGCCTGGCTCCCGGGCCACCTGTGCGCTGAGGCACGGGGTGCGGTGGGCCCTATGCCCGTCGCCCTCTCTCCTGATTCTAAACAACAGCATAAATAAATCCAAATGGCTTCCTTGGCGCAGCGGCCAGCCCTGCTCTCAGCCGCTCATTTCCTGTGTGCGAGGCTGGTTTGGGAGGCGGCGGGGGCAGGAAGGGGGAGCAGCAGGAAGGTGGGGGGCAGAACGGGAAAGATCGCCCTCTCCCAGCCCCCGGGGGCTCTCACGCTGCAGACACACACAGATGCCAGACGCAACACCGCACCCCAGGGTGCACACGGCCCCCGCTCGGCGCGTGGGCACGGCGGTGGGGTCCCCCAGCCCCGTACTCCATCTCAGCCGCCCGGGGGCAGTGCTGGGCTCCCGTCTTGGCTGCGGGCCCACGGGAGCCCGGGGTGCAGCAGGAGGCCAGTGGTGGCGCCCAACCCGCGTCCCGGGCAGGGAAGCAGAACCGAGGCACTGGTGCTCCCCGGTCCCTGCCCCAGAGCAGGGCGCAGAGCGCGGTGGTCTGGGAGAGAGGGAAGGGCCTGGCCGGAGCTCCCCGGCCGGCAGCAGGAGCCTTCGGCAGAAGCAGCTTCAGGCCGCGGCTTTGCGCCCGGCACCATGGCGCCCCCTGGCGGCGGACGCGGCAGGCTGTCCCCACCCGGACCTCCGGGTCTGGCCCCGCTGCCCGCAGCCTTGACCTCCAGCCGCGAGTCCCTGCAGCAGGCCCAGGCCTTAGGGCTCCCCTCCGGGGAGGCAGTCCACTTGCCTGGTCGGATGCCCCTGGGGCCTCCCTCCCTCCCCCCGCCCAGCCGGACCACCCAGGCCAGGTTGGTAGCACCGCCCACGGTCCTGTGGGGTCCTGATTGGGACCCAGCTGCCAGATGGGCCTCTAGCACACCAGGGCCCGGCCCGGCTCTGGGAGGTGACTCTGCCCCTGGCCTTGGTGGGTCGCTCAGTCGTGGCTGACTCTGCAACCCCGTGGACTGCAGCCCACCTGGCTCCTCTGTCCATGGGATTTTGCAGGCAAAGATACTGGAGTGGGTTGCCATTTCCTTATCCAGGGGATCTTCCTGACCCAGGGATCGAACCTGGGTCTCCCACACCGCAGGCAGATTCTTTACCAACTGAGCTACCTGGCCTTGGAGATGTCTGTAACCCAGGAGTCATTCAACACGCTTGCTGACACCACTGGCCACAGACCCCGCCAGCCGTGGGGACTCAGAAGGCTGCCAGGGAGCCCAGGCTTGGCAGCCCCAGAGTCCACCTGGGAAACACGGCCCCCGGCAGGAGCTCCCGGGGGGGCTGCCCCATGAACTGCTCCCAGGGTAGGGGTGGGGTCTGCGGGAGCAAAGGGCTGGAAGCCGGAAAGTGGGTGCCGCAGGGACCCGTGGAGTCCCGGGAAGGCTAGACTTGGTGTCTCGGGGAGCCCCAGAGGGGTTGGGGGTGAGGTGACAGCACCAGCCAGGGGCCGAGGCCCCGGTTCAGGCGAGAGGGGGGCTGGCAGGTGCAGTAGGACAGGCCGCTTGGAGCAGCAGGCGTGGGGGCAGCAAAGGCCCCTGCAATGGGGCGAGGTCGGGGCAGGGGAGGGAGCCCCACCACTGGCGCTGCCACGGAGGGAATGCTGCTCGGGAGGAGCCCGGGGCCTTGGGCTCACGGCCCGGTCCTGACCCACGGGGGACCCATTGGGCCTGGCCTCATCCTAAAGGGTGGAATTCATCCAAACTGTGTTCCTAGAGCCTCCAGTATCACAGAACCAGACCTTCCGGGCCTCTGACCAGCATCCAAGGCCAGGAGGGACAACACTGCCTTTCAAAGCCCCCATGGATGATGGGGGTGAGGTAGAATGCCCATCACACCACCCCTGGGGAAGGGTGCCCAGATGGAGGGGTCCTGGCTGTCCTGGGTAAAAGGTCCCGACTCTCCTGAGTTGCAGGGGGTCCTGACTCCGGGCGGAGGGGTTCCAACTGTCCCGGGTGGAGGGGTCCTGATTCCCAGGTGGGGGGTCCTGAATCCCGGGTGGGGGAATCCTGACTCCTGGGTGGGGAGGTCCTGACCTCTGGGTGGGGGGGATCATGACTCCTTGGTTGAGGGGTCCTGACTCTCGGGTTGGGGGTTCCTGACTCTGGGTGGCGGGATCCTGACTCCTGGGTGGGGGGGGTCCTGACTCCCTGGTTGAGGGGTCCCGACTCCCAGGTTGGGAGGTCTTGGCCGTCCCACACCCCTTGGGCTTCGCTTTCCTTAGGGACACAGGGGGGAGGCGGGCTCCCTTGGCCCCCAGCTCTGAGCACTCACCGCAGCCATGAGGCCCCTGGCCCCTCTCACAGTGGCCGTGGTGCTCAGCACGGCCCCCAGGGTCAGGAGTGCAGCCAGGACGATTCCAGCGAAGAAGGCTGGGGGCGGGGTGGGGGGGCGGTCAGGGTGCCCGGGCAGGGGTCCCAGGTGTGCAAGAGTGGACTCGAGGCTGCTGGGCTTCCAGGGGCCCTGAAGGGGCCTCATCTTATCAGCAGGGATGTGCCCACCACGCCCCCTGCCACCCCGCACTGCCCCTTCCCCCTCCCCTCCACCCNCACCACCCATCTCTGCATCCTGGTCTCACAAGACACAGGGTCAGCTGCAGGGCTTCTAGGTGTTCTGGGGGTGGCCTCAGTGGGGCCTTTGCTGCAGACACCTACCCCCACACCCTCACACACAGACATCCCACATGGAGACACCTCAGCACACACACACAGACACCCCATCACAGGCATGCAGACACCCCATCACACACAGACACCCCATCACACACACTCCACTACACACACAGACATCCCATCACACAGACACCCCACTACACATGCAGATACCCCACCACACACAGACACCCCACCACACACACCCCACTACACACACAGACACCCCAGCACACACAGACACCCCAGCACACACAGACACCCCACCACAGCACAGACACCCCATCACAGCACAGACACCCCATCACAGACACAGATACCCCACCACACACACAGACACCCCATCACAGACACCCCACTACACACACAGACACCCTGCCACACACAGACACCCCACCACACACAGATACACCATCACAGACACCCCATCACACACACCACACAGACTCACATTCACATCCCCCCATTGCCAGCACACACACTCACTGTCCAGCACCTCCAAGGGCCCAGAACCTCCGATGGTTCCGTTTGTGGACCCCCAGCCCTCTCAGCTCCCCCCATCCTGTGAGAGCACCTCCAAGGGCAGGAGGCCAGCCCCCCCAGGCCCCTGGGAGACTTCTCTTCGACCCCAGTTCACCAGCCACCCAAGGCCCTCCAGGTCAGCTGCCTGGCAGGAGGATGAACACTGCTCGTGGGGCAACCTTTTGCCTCCAAGACTTTGCCCACAGGACCCCAGGTGCACGGGCACGGGGCAGCAAGGCGGGTGTGTGTGTTAGGAGGAGGACCCACAGTTCTGGAGGCCCAGGAGCACGGTGCACCCTCCCCACCCCCACCCCTCACCGCCTCCTGCCCAGCTTGCCTGTTACCAGAACAAAGAAGCTGGTGGCCAGCATCTGGCATTTGGCCACCCTGACTCGACGGCAAGGCTCCATGGAGGTTCCTCTGCTCTCCTCTGCCCTCCTTCCCCTGCCCTCCCCTGCCCTGCCCTGCCCTCCCCTCCCTTCCCTCCCCTCCCCTCCCCTCCCCTCCCACTGTGGTTTTGTTTTCCAGCTGGGTGGGGACCTCAGACCACAGTTGCCCGTGAGGAGCTGGGTCGGTTGGTCACCCGTCTGTCTGTCTGTCAGCATACACGGGAACTGAACCTCTGGGTGTCCCAGAGAAAGCGCAGGGAGGAGGCAGGGCGGACAATGCCAGCTTCCATCCTCCTGCTGCCCCTCCCCTGGCCCAAGCCCCCAGGACTCGAGCAGGTAAATGAGGCCTCCCTGAAGGGTGCGCCCTTGCTCCTGGCAGGGCGGTGGAGGACCCTGGGCGGAAGTGGGCGGGGAGAGAGGGCCCCTGGGTGGGGGTGAGCTTCCCGTCCCAGGAGTGTGCAAGCAGAGACCGGACCCCCGGGAGCCCCGCCTGGGGCGGCTGTCCTCGCAGGACTTTGGGGAGAGGCTGTATATGAATTTCTCTATCGAAACACTGTCTTACGAAACACCTTTCGAAATGTTCTGTGACATCAACATTTTCGAAAAAGCCACTTGATTTTCGATGCTTCAGCGGCACAGATGAGTAATTTAGAGCAGAGTGTGCAGGGGGAGGGGGCTGGGCCCCTCTCTGCACCCACGTTGAGGCTCTGTCGGAACTTGAGTCCGTGATTAAACCTCCTGACATGAACCCGGGGCTGAGCTCGTGGGCGGTTGGACCCAGCGCGGCCTGAGGGCGGGGACATGTCCTGAGCCCCCGATCTGGGTCCCTTCTGGGCCAGCTGGAACAGCGGGGGCCCCCTCTGCGGTCCTCCAGGGCTGACCGGAGCAGGCTACCTGGGCACAGCTCCCCTCCCGTGCTGGAATCACCCCGCTTCCACATCTCATCATGTGGGTCCTCAGGGCACTGGGTGGCCTCAGCTGGGCAGGACAGGTGCCCCAGACAGCTGTCACAATGTCTCCTGTGACGCCTTGGCCTTCTAGAAGCCAGCAGAGTGCGGCCTGTGCTAGCCAGCAGCTCCGCCACCTCCTTCCTCTCCCTGTTCAGAGCAGGGGCAGCCAGGACCCCTCATCCACCGCAGTGCCCCCAGCTGCCCCATTGCACCAGGAATCCCGCTCTGTGTCCGCAGGGGCAGGAGGGGAGCCCCGACATCCCAACCCATGCTTCGAGCTGGTGAAGCCGAGCTGCGGCCCAAGGGGCCAGCGGGAGTGGAAGTCCTGGACGGGGGTGGGAGTCGGGGCCGTGGGCTGGGGGCTGGCCTCCTGGACCCGCCCTCCTGCAGAGATGAGCCAATCGCCACCCTGCTGGCCTCACTTCTGGAACTGTCTGCCTCTGACTTGGAAGCAGATGTCCTGACCTTTTCCCAAAGGTCAGACCTGGCTTCTTGACCTGCTCCCGCCGAGTGCCGACCTGAACCAGGCACTTGGCACAGGTGACCTGACTGTGTTTCCCCACATCAGCCCCTGGCCCTCTGTGGGCAGGAAACAAGGCTTCCTTGGGGACGGGGCTGCGGGCGACTGAGCCCAACTCAGACCCCCTCAAGTCCAGGCCTCTAATTGAGGCCCCCCTGCCCTGGGCCCATTGCCTGGGGCGGGGGGGAGCCTGGCCCACGTGGGGTGCCGTCCACACCTGCCCCAGGAAGCCCGTTTCCACACCTTCGGGCTACAACAGCCGGTCTGAGACAGGAAGTGACATCTGGAGGGCAAGTGCTGGCTTCACCCAGCTGCCTGACCCTCAGCCACTCACTTCCCCTCTGGCACCCAGGGCGGCCGCCCCTCCCGAGGGCAGCGCGGGCTCGTGGAAGCCAGCAGGGCGCCCAGAACAGCAGCTTCTGTCGGAGACGCTGGGCCGGGGGACAGACCCCCACCCTGCACGGACCCTGTGCCAAGGGTCCCGCCATGAGCTGCCTGGGCCGCTTCTCTCTCTGTGTCCACGGGACATGTGTGTGCACATGCGTGCCAGCCCGTGCACATGTCTGCGTGTGCATACGTGTGCACCCGCCTGTCTGTGTAACGGTCTTTGCCGGCCAGTAACCTCCTCCTTTCTCCCTCTTCCTGCCCACGTCTAATAGTTGCTCAGTTAATAGAAAGCTATTTTGTCAGGGGAGCCAACTGACATAGCTCCCCATGGCCATGGCTGGGACACTGTGAGCAACAGAATAAATAACAGATTGATGACAACCCACGATGTTAAACAAACATCCATATCCGTGCTGGTCCAAAGGAAGGCTGAATACACCAGTGAGAGAGGAGAGAGACTGCCTGTGCAGAAGAATCCCAAGGAGCAGGTGTGGCTCCTCCCCCATCAGGGGAGCACCTCTTTCCCGTCCCCCTGGGGCTCCGGCAAGCACTCCTCAGCCAGGTGGTCATGGGCAGCGCTGCCAGGGTGAGGCGTGTCGAGGGCTGTGTCGATGGGACACAGCGGGCGGGTGCCTCACCCCTGCATCTTCCTGCCCAAACCCACAGCCCAGGTCTGATTGCGGCGCAAATACCCGGCAAACCCCAGCAGAGGGGTGTCCTCCTGCACACCTGCCCCCCACATGGCCAGGGTCACTGAAGCCGTCACGGCCCAGAGGAGCCAAGGAGATGGGACAGCCGTGTGTGTGGGTCTTGGGATGGGCCCCGTTCAGAAAAGAGAGGGCAGACAAGGACTGAAGAAAGCTGAGTGCCATACGGGCTCTAGTCAGTAATAATGGACCCCTGTTAAGGGAATGGCTGTGACTGATAGCCCGCACTCCCGTCAGACACTGGTATTGGGAGGCGGTAGGGGTGCAGTGGTATTGGTGAACTTATCTTTGCAACTTCTTTTTGTAAATCTGAAACTATCTTCATATAAACTTTATTTAAAAACATGGTGTTGGCTTCCACCCCCGTCTCAGGGTGCAGAGGGGTTGGCTCCGCCCGTCCACTTACTGGGGCGTGAACTCTTGGCCCCAGGCCTGACCGAACCCCACTCCACTAACTGCTCATCACCAAGATGTTCATGGACTCGGTGATGGCNCAGTTGTGGCTTCACCACTTGGCCCCTTGCTCCTGTCTGCTGTCTGCCGCCTGCCTCAGTTTACCTGGGCAGTGGCCTCTGGGAATCCGAGCGGGGGTGTTAGCCATGAAGCAGGCTGCTCCTACCACGAGGCTACTTCCCTGGGCCAGGAGGTGGCAGCCTCCGCCCGGCTTCCTAACAACTGCCCCGAGGGACATGTCCCTCCTCTCCATCAGAGATGTTCGGCCTCACGGGCTGCTGCCATGGCCTCCTGACCCAGGAAGGAGTCCCCGGGCCGCCTGTGAGCACATCACCTTCCTGCAGCGTGGAATGTGGGGCTCTGCCAGCCTCCCGGGCGGTGCTGAGGGCTGAGAAGGACCCCGAGTGCAGTCTCTGGCTTTCTCTCTGCCCTCCGGCCAGATTCTGACGCTGTCGCAGCTGCCCAGACGTGTCTGCCCTGGGCAGCGTCTCCTGGGGAGGGTTTTCTTCCCGGACATCTTACATCTGGTCAACTCTGTGAGCTCCGGGGCTCCTGGCCAGCTTTCTCTCCACAGGGTGTCATGTTGGTCCATTACCTCGATGACATCCTGCCGATCGGGTCCCGTGAGCAGGAAGTGGCGGTCATTCAGACACTGTGTTACCACGGGCCATGCTGGAGGGTGGGAAATAAATCCCGCAGAACTGGCTGCCTGCTACCTGGTGACCCTCGAGGGGTCTAGAGCGCGTCTGGGGCACTTTGAGGCCCACATCTGGCCCTTCTTACTGCTTAAGAAGATGCTTGATGCCCAGGGGGCCTCTTCGGTTTTGTGTGTGTGTGTTTTAACATTCGCATCACTTCATGGCCGATAGCTAGAGGAAAATGGAAACCATGGCAGATCTTATTTTCTTGGGCTCCAAAATCACTGCAGATGGTGACTTCAGCCATGAAATTAAAAGACGCTACTCCTTGGCAGAAAAGCTATGACAAACCTAGACAGCATATTACAAAGCAGAGATAGAACTTGGTCAACAAAGTTCTGTACAGTCAGAGCTATGGTTTTTCCAGTAGTCGTGTACGGCTGTGAGTCGGACCATAAAATAGGCTGAGCACTGAAGAATTGATGCCTTTGATCTGTGATGCTGGAGAAGACTCTTGAGAGTCCCTCGGACAGCAAGGAGATCAAACCAGTCCATCCTAAAGGAAATCAACCCTGCACATTCATTGGAAGGACTGATGTTGAAGCTGAAGCTCCAATACTTTGGCCACCTGATGCGAAGAGCTGATTCATTGGAAAAGACACTGATGCTGGAAAGATTGACGGCAGGAGGAGAAGGATTATCAGAGGAAGATTATCTGACGACAGAGAATAAGACGGTTGGACGGCATCACCGACCCAATGAACACGAGTCTGAGCAAACTCTGGGAGATAGTGAAGGACAGGGAAGCCTGGGGTACTGCAGTCCGTGGGTCAGAAAGAGTTGGACACGATTGAATGACTGAACAACAACAACAAATGTGTAAGCTAGGTAACTAATGAGAACCTACTGCATAGCACAGGGAAGCTCTCAGTGCTTTGAGATGACCTAAGTGAGAAGGAAATCCAGCAAAGAGGGGATATATGTACAGTTATCACTGAGTCACTGTAAAGCAACTATACTATAAAAAAATTTTTTAAGTCCAACAATAGCAAAGACAAAGGAAGGCATGGCAGATGAAGAACAAAGAATGGGTGTCCCACCAGAGACCAGACCAGACGGTGCAGCTGGGTTTACACAGTCTCAGGCCATGAAGCTGGGCACACACAGTCCTGTTCCACCATCAGAGAAGGGGTGTATGTCAGACAGGCTCAGGGCAGGTTCTGAGGATACAAGCAGGTCATGTGAGGAAGCAGCTGCAAAGCCTGCTGTGCCCGCCCCTGGCTGTGTCACCTCTGGCATCAAGGGATCTTCCCGTGACTTGGTGACCAAGGAAGGAAGAGCCAGGGCCTGTCTCTCCGAGGGTTCTGCTCTGCGTGGGGTCACCACCCGGAGTGGACAGCCCGGAGCTCCAGGAACTCAAGGAGCATCTCTTCCTTTGACTTGGCCTGGAAGGAGGGTAGGGGGTCCCAGGTCTATAGACATCATAGCTTTCAACGGTGTGGCTGGACAGCCAGGGACTTGGAAGGGGCACAGTTGGAAAGTTGTTGGCCGGAGGTCTGGGAAAGAGGGGGCGAGGTTAGACTTCCCCAAAGGACACGGAATGGGGAGGCGTTTGGGGCCCATGTGAACACCGAGCTGCCGCCGCGGCCACCAAGGACCTGTTACCAGGCAGACCACTGGCCCTTCTGTGGACCCCCACCCACCTCTGTCCAGAGGGCTCGTGGCTGCCACAGTGGAGGTGATGGGTGGGCTTGGCACATGGACTGCCCCCTCCACACGGCTGTCCGCCGAGGGCCTCTCCCGAAACAGCAGAGATGACACTGATGCCCCGATGCGGTCCTGGCGGTGCGGCACCATCCCAGGGCCGCAGGTGAGGCGGCTGCTTCCAGGTGGGAAGGCACCAGGCGGCTTCCTAGAACAGATGCTCCGAGTATGGAGTCACGTTCCTGCCCCCATGTGGCTGCAGATGCACCACCTGTGCCCAACGGGATGCCTGACCCCCCGTCACAGGCCTGACAGCAAAGGAGCCCGTTCCCCAGCCAGCGGGGGGCGCAGGCTACCTGACTCGTAGGTTTCCCGAGGACCCCCGTCACCCCGAAGCCGCTGGCCCAACAGGACAGAGTGACGAGCTTTTGAAGACGTGGCAGGAGCACCTGCAGGGGGTGCGGGGCTGGGTGCTCTGAATCACGCTTTCTCTCTTCGCTCAGATGTGTGGTTCTGGGGTGCGGGGCTGGGTGCTCTGAATCACGCTTCTCTCTTCGCTCAGACGTGTGGTTCTGGGAATCACAAGGCAGAAATGGCAATGAGCTCTCACCCTAATGCAATGCCCTCAGTGCATCTTTGTCTCCTGTCCCCCGACTCTAGGTTTTCTTGGTCTAGAAATTCAAGTTCCCAAGGGAGGAGGGCTCCCACCAAGGACACACAAAGAGTTCTTTAATGAACCCGGGCCACCATGGGGTCCTCGTGACAGAGAATCAACAGGCAGAGAGGGGTGACGATAAGGTTGGCGTGATCTGTCCCATCGGGTGGGAACCGGTGCTTACACCAAGGAGGTGAGGATGAGAAAGAACATGTCTGGAAGGCAGAAGTCCCCTGGAGCATGGAGATTCCTGGTCCTGTGATGGAAATCAAACGGGAATTTCAGCCTTCGGCCCAGACCTCTCAGGAATGAGGCCTTGGATTGACCCGAGGCAGGGAGCCAGCATCAGCTGAGGTGCCTACGGAGGCGACGAGGATGTGGAGGTGGGCGTGGGGGAGGTGCTGGCAGAGACCAGCCGTGGCCGTCTGGCCAACCACGGAGCTTGGAGGGTGTGACTGCTGATCCCGGCCCACCGTTCTGTCTCTGCAGGTAAATCATAAAGCGTTGGAGTGGGAATGTGACCGGGCCAGAAGGGAAGTGGACACCACCCCGGGCGGGGTGAGGGGCCCCCTCCCCTTTGGGGGGAGGGGAGCACGCTTCTGGTTGTACAGGGAGCCTGTGCCTCGTTAGGCAGAAGCCTGACTTTCCTTTGCCTTTATTTGGAAGCTGCGCGCGTTGGTTGCTCAGCTGTGTCTGACTGCTTGTGACCCCATGGGCTGCAGCCCTGCAGGCTGTTCTGTCCAGGGAGTTCTCCAGGCAAGAGTACTGGGGTGGTTCGCCATTTCCTTCTCCAGGGGATTTTCCTGACCCAGGGATCACACCTGGGTCTCCTGCATTGCAGGCAGATTCTTTACCATCTCAGCCACTGGAAAAGTTAAGTACAGTCCAAATAAAGCACATGGCATTTTGTACGACAACATGTGTATGAAAATTCCAGAACAGGCAAATCCAGAGACAGAAAGTGGAGTTGTGGGACTTCCCTGGTGGTCCAGTGGCTGAGACTCCGAGCTGCCAATGCAAGGGGCCTGGGTTTGATCCCTGGTCAGGGAAGTAGGTCCCAGTGCTGCTTCTGCTGCTGCTAAGTCGCTTCAGTCGTGTCCGACTCTGTGTGACCCCATAGACGGCAGCCCACCAGGCTCCCCCGTCCCTGGGATTCTCCAGGCAAGAACACTGGAGTGGGTTGCCATTTCCTTCTCCAGTTCATCAAAGTGAAAAGTGAAAGTGAAGTCGCTCAGTCGTGTCCGACTCTTAGCGACCTCATGGACTGCAGCCCACCAGGCTCCTCTGTCCATGGGATTTTCCAGGCAAGAGTACTCGAGTGGAGTGCCATCGCCTTCTCCGAGTAGGTCCCACAGGCCACAACTAAAGACCCCGTGTGCTGCAACTGAGACCCGGTATAGTCAAATAAATAAGTAATAGAAGGATGTGGTGTGATGCACATGATTTACCATATCCCTAAGTGCACGGCTCCGTGGCATTAAGGGCAGGCACTGCGGGGGACCATCACGTCAGCCTCCTCCAGAACGCTCTCATCTCCCTAAACCCACACTCTGTCCATGAAGCGTTCATTCCCTTCCCCTCCCCTAGTCTGGCCCCACCGGCCGCCTTCTGTCTCTAGGAATCTGACTCCTCCGGGGGCCTCAGGTGAGGGGTGACATACAGGGCTCCATCCTCGATGAAGGATGAATCGCATCGGAGTTGTCCTTTTGTGTCTGGCTTTTTGGCAGCAGGTCCAGAATATTCTACACAACTGCACTGCTCTCCTTCATGGCCATCAGCCTACGGCCTCACTCATCCGACCTCAGTAGCCATCAGCCGGACTCACCGGTGCTGCCTGCACATCCACTATCCCCTCCAGAGAAAGGCAGTGCCTATTCCAGCCCCACAGCAGGATTGGCCGCTAGATGGGGACACCCAGGATCAACCATGGAGAAACCCTGGAAGCTAGAGGGAGGAAGGGATCTGAGGAAAGGTCAGCAAGTGCGATAAACTTCTGGTAGCACTGAAGGTGGTGGTAACTGCAGTGCAGTGTGTCTCTGTTTCCCTCTCTCCATGGGTCTGTCTGCAAATCCTCCTTCCCTCAGCCTCCTTGAACTTAGATTTCCACCTCCCCTCGGCCTCCTTGAACTTGGATTTCCACCTCCCCTCGGCCTCCTTGAACTTAGATTTCCACCTCCCCTCGGCCTCCTTGAACTTAGATTTCCACCTCCCCACCTCCGGGAAGCCTTGGGTTCAGTTGGAGAATCAGCCCCTGGCCGCCTGGATTGTTTCACTTCTCACACACCCCCTTACTCCCCGCTGTCCGTGTTTGAACACAAGGTTACACGTGCTGTCTCCTGTTCTCTGCGGACAGCAGGTAAATGTGGTCCCAATTCTCCACATGGCCAAGAGGGGACCACCTGGAGATATGAACTTTTAACATGTGATTAAATGTAAGTCCCAGGTTTACAGTTACTTTACAGGGTGAAGTTAATGTTTTGCCCTTTGTAATTTTTATTTTGTGGGGAGGAACCTCGAGACTGTGTAAATATCCTGCTACCCTTCCCACTTTTACCCACTGCTTTAGCATTGATTGGTGATTTGCCCCTACATAAACCAGCACTGCGATGCTGTGAAATGGACTATCAGAGGGGACCCTGAGAGTGTGGGGAGGAAAACGAACACAAGATAACTGGACAGGAGGAGTCACAGACGGAAAGAGAAACAGCAGGAGGAAATATTTGAAAATGGAGCCAAATTAAATACCTTAGGAGGAAAGAAACGAGAAAAAGCTCTCAGGGGCCAAAAAGGATGAAAAGGAAGAAGCTAGATTCTTCCTATCATAGTGCCACAGAGATGAAAGTTCTGGAACGTTCCAGAGCAACCTGAAGATGAGCTTCACATCGTTCTTCTCAAGGGCAGTGCTGGATACACGGAGAAGTCATATTTATAAAGTGCAGAGGACCAATAATTTTCACAGAGGACTTTCTAAGATATCATTATTATTTAAATGTGAAAGTGGGATAAAAACACTTTCAGAGACACCAAGCTTCAGAGTATTTAGAATGTTTGCCACAGTTACACCCACTCTGGCAACGAGGTTCTCAAACAATAAGATAAATTCCAGAAGCTGCTGCAAGGGGCATGAAAGTGGGAGAGACCAAGGATCTTCTCTCCATGCCTGTAAAAATCACCAATGGGAATATACAACAGCATACAAGACATCACCTCTAACTGTAACAAAACCAAGAGCAACCAGAAATTCATGGAACAGGAATGCACCAGGCCTCCCTGTGCTAAATTCTAGACTCAAGTAAAGACCCTGGTGGAGGTTGTTGAAGTGAATAGACACACATTTCATGTTGGAATGCCTCACTATGACAAAGACGTCAAGCCTCCTGAAATTAACTCAAACTTATCCAGTGCCACCCTGACTCACATCTCAGCGGGTGTTTGAAACGCTCCGAGCACTTACTGTAATGTGGATTACCGTTCAGTCGCTAAGTAGTGTTCGACTGTTTACGACTCCATGAACTGCAGCATTCCAACTGTCCTTCACTATTTCCCAGAGTCTGCTCAGACTCATGTCCACTGAGTCAGTGATGCCATCCAACCATCTCATTCTCTGTCATCCCCTTCTCCTCCTGCCCTCAATCTTTCCCAGAGCCAGGGTCTTTTCCAAAGAGTCGACTCTTCACATCAGATAGCCAAAGTATTGGAGCTTCAGTTTCAGCATCAGTCCTTCCAATGAATATTCAGGACTGATTTCCTTTCGGATGGACTGGTTTGATCTCCTTGCAGTCTGAGGGACTCTCAAGAGTATTCTCCAGCTCCATAATTTGAAAACATCAGTTCTTAAGCACTCAACCTTCTTTATGGTCCAGCTTTCACATCCATACACGACTGCTGGAAAAACCATATGGACATCTGCCTGCAAAGTCATGTCTCTGCTTTTTAATATGCTGTTTAGGTTGGTCATAGTTTTTCTTCCAAGGAACAAGGGTCTTTGAATTTTGTGGCTGCAGTTACCATCGGCAGTGATTTTGGAGCCAAAGAAAATAAGATCTGTCACTGTTTTCACTTTTCCCCATCTATTTGCCAAGAAGTGATGGGATCAGATGCCATGAGTTTTGTTTTTTGAATGTTGATACTGAAGTATAAAGGTCCATGGAGTAGGTAGATAAACTTTGAATAAAAGGACAAGAAAGAGGGACTTGCCGTGTCTGATGTGAAGGCACCTGATGGAGCCTAATGTGAAAATCCCCAACGGCATGGGATTGTAACCTGGGTGAAGTTGGAGAACAGAAAGCTTGGAGAAAGACTCTTGTATACATTTACTCCGTGCTTAAAAATATTAATCTGTTCATGACAGCCCTTTTGGGAAGTGAAAAGCCATTAAATGGGAAAAGAAATCCATTAATTTTAATGGTAAAAATTATGATGTGTTTCATCCTAACCTGATAACTTCCAAATATTCAAGATAAAATATCAATCAAGGCATGAAGATGAACTAATTTGAGTTATAAAGAACACAAGGATTTTAAAAGTTTGTCAACTTCTACAAAAAAAAATCTGCTGGGATTTTGATTGAGATTGTATCAGATCTATAGATCAACGTGCACCCAGGCGGAATGATACAGCGGGACCCCATGAGCCTCAGTTGGCCTCGGACAGCCAGTCCCCAGCGGTCCCCGCCAGCGGGCCACTGCCCACGTCACCCCCGCGGTGCAGTGCGCCCCACCGCGTGGTGGAACCAGGGTCCGGTGAGGAGAGCCCTTCCTCCTGGGACATGGGGCGCAGCCGGAAAGGCGGCCGCCCCCTCGCCGCCATGCACTGCTCCTTTGTGGGGAACCTGGTTCTAAACCGTTAGTAGACGACCTGCTTCTGGTCCCAGCTTTGTTCAGTTGCAGAGCAGCTCCCTCCCTGCCATCTAGTGAAGTCAGTCCTTGGCATGAGGGTGTGTAGAAAAAGAAAGAAGAAAAAAGCAGAAACAAAGCAAAACAAGCAGAATTAAAAGATTAAAAAAGAAAAATAAAAACAAATGACAAAAATATTAGATCAATGTGGGGAAAAATAATATCTATTGGATCTCCTAATCCATGAACATAATCCATGAATATAATCCTTATGATTATACAGTGAAAGTGACAAATAGATTCAAGGGATTAGATCTGATAGATAGAGTGCCTGAAGAACTATGGACGGAGGTTCGTGACATTGTACAGGAGACAAGAATCAAGACCATCCCCAAGAAAAAGAAATTCACAAAAGCAAAATGGCTGTCTGAGGAGGCCTTACAAATAGCTGAGAAAAGAAGAGAAGCTAAAAACAAAGGAGAAAAGGAAAGATATACCATTTGAATGCAGAGTTCCAAAGAATAGCAAGGAGAGATACGAAAGACTTCCTTAGAGATCAGTGCAAAGAAATAGAGGAAAGCAACAGAATGGGAAAGACTAGAGATTTCTTCAAGAAAATTAGAGATACCAAGGGAACATTTCAGGCAAAGATGGGCACAGTAAACGACAGAAATGGTATGGACCTAACAGAAGCAGAAGATAATAAGAAGAGGTGGCATGAATACACAGAAGAACTGTACAAAAAAGATCTTCATGACCCAGATAATCATGATGGTGTGATCACTCACCTAGAGCCAGACATCCTGGAATGTGAAGTCAAGTGGGCCTTAGGAAGCATCACTATGAACAAAGCTAGTGGAGGTGATGGAATTCCAGTTGAGCTATTTCAAATCCTGAAAGATGATGCTGTGAAAGTGCTGCACTCAATATGCCAGCAAATTTGGAAAACTCAGCAGTGGCCACAGGACTGGAAAAGGTCAGTTTTCATTCCAATCCCAAAGAAAGGCAATGCCAAAGAATGCTCAAACTACCGCACAATTGCACTCATCTCACACGCTAGTAAAGTAATGCTCAAAATTCTCCAAGCCAGGCTTCAGCAATACGTGAACCGTGAACTTCCAGATGTTCAAGCTGGTTTTAGAAAAGGCAGAGGAACCAGAGATCAAATTGCCAACATCCGCTGGATCATCGAAAAAGCAAGAGAGTTCCAGAAAAACATCTATTTCTGCTTTATTGACTATGCCAAAGCCTTTGACTGTGTGGATCACAATAAACTGTGGAAAATTCTGAAAGAGATGGGAATACCAGACCACCTGACCTGCCTCTTGAGAAACCTGTATGCAGGTCAGGAAGCAACAGTTAGAACTGGACATGGAACAACAGACTGGTTCCAAATAGGAAAAGGAGTACGTCAAGGCTGTATATTGTCACCCTGCTTATTTAACTTATATGCAGAGTACATCATGAGAAATGCTGGGCTGGATGAAGCACAAGCTGGAATCAAGATTGCCGGGAGAAATATCAATAACCTCAGATATGCAGATGACACCACCCTTATGGCAGAAAGTGAAGAAGAACTAAAGAGCCTCTTGATGAAAGTGAAAGAGGAGAGTGAAAAAGTTGGCTTAAAACTCAACATTCAGAAAACTAAGATCATGACATCTGCCCTATCACTTCATGGCAAATAGATGGGGAAACAGTGGAAACAGTGACAGACTTTATTTGGGGGGGCTCCAAAATCACTGTAGATGGTGATTGCAGCCATGAAATTAAAAGATGCTTGCTCCTTGGAAGTAAACCTATGGCCAACCTAGACAGCATACTAAAAAGCAGAGACATTACTTTCTCAACAAAGGTCCATCTAGTCAAAGCTCTGGTTTCTCCAGTGGTCATGTATGGATGTGAGAATTGGACTATAAAGAAAGCTGAGAGCTGAAGACTTGCCGAAGACTTGATGCTTTTGAACTGTGGTCTTGGAGAAGACTCTTGAGAGTCCTTTGGACAGCAAAGAGATTCAACCAGTCCATCCTAAGGGAAATCAGTCCTGAATATTCATTGGAAGGACTGATGCTGAAGCTGAAACTCCAATACTTTGGCCACCAGATGCAAAGAACTGAGTCATTTGAAAAGACACTGATGCTGCGAGACATTGAAGGCAGGAGGAGAATGGGGGTGACAGAGGATGAGATGGTTGGATGGCATCACCGCCTTGATGGACATGAGTTTGAGTAAGCTCCAGGAGTTGGTGATGGACAGGGAAGCCTGGCATGCTGCAGTCCATGGGGTTGCAACTGAGCGACTGAACTGAACTGAACTGAACTGGGTTTGTCATAGCTCTTCTTCCAAGGAGCAAGCTCTTTTTAATTTCATGGCTGCACTCACCATATGCAGTGATTTTGGAACTGAAGAAAATGAAGTCTGTCACTTTATTTTTGTAGATTTGGTCAGATGGTTATGTTTTCTATGAATTAAAACATTTTGCTCTTACTTTCAGGTGGTTTCTTTTTCTTGCCATATTGACCCGGCTAAAACTTTCAGAACAATGTTAGACAGCAGTCTTAACAAGAGACATCCTTGTCTTATTCCTGATCTTAGGGAGAGATCAACCTGTTTTCCACCATTAAATTTGAGGCCTTTTATTATGTTGAGAAAGTTTCCTTTGATTCCTAGTTTGCTGGCACTTTGAAAATTGTGAATGGCTGTTGGATTTTGTCAAATGCCTTTTTTTAATCTTTTGAAATAATGATATGGCTTTTATTTTTAAATTTAATGTGGTCACTTAATTGAGTTGACTTTTTTAAAAACTTTTTTAAAATGTTGAACAAACTTGCATTTCTAGAATTAATACCCACTTGTTTTGTTGGATTTGAGTTGCAAAACTTTTCTTTAGATTTTTTTTGCCCCTTACGTTCATGAGGAATATCTGTAGTTTCTTTTCTTGTGTTTGTCTCTCTTTGGTATCAGTAAAATGCTGGCTTCATAGGATGATTGGGAAGTATCTCATCCTTTTTAATTGTTCTCAGTGAGTTTAGGTAGAATTGGTTTTATTTCTTCCTTAAATATTTGAAACAAGTCACCAACTATTCTATCTAAGCTTGGAGTTTTTTTGAACAGTAAGTTTTCTTAACTACAAATTTAACTAAATAGATATGAAGCTACTTTGGTTATTTCTTCTTG